TGGTCAACTTCTCGGGCCAACACACACGAATCACCACTCCAATGCCGCCCAGTCAACTCAGTCTAGTCGAAAGTAATCACATAACATTTCCTGGCGATCTCTGGGCTAAAGCACAGCCTACAATGTGTGTGTGTGTGTGTTGTGAGGGCTGCACCCCAGCGCACCAAGCAGTCTGGGCCCGCCAAGCAGTCTGCAACCCTGAAATTCCAAGACCGCTCTTGGTGTCACGGCACCATCCGGCAAGGTGGAACGACGTCCGCAGCTTCCACAGTGCGTTTCGCTGCCGGTCGTGGCAGTCATCGTCCAAAGGGTCGAGCGACAAGGAGGATGATGGCTTGGCAAAACAGGATAACTCCCCTCCACTGGTTGAGCGGATCTATATAGATCATTGTAGATCCAAGCTGAGAACGCATGAGGGAACATTGGCCAGGCAGGTGGGCAACCATTTAAATGGTTGATCCATGAGACATCGTGAAATCAGCCAGGGGCCCGACGGCTGCAGTCAGCGAATCCAGGGCCGAACGTGTACGTGGCACGCAGTGACCCCAGCAACAAACCCACACCTCCATGGTCGGAGCAAGCAAAAGCATGAGCCATAAATAACAGCTTTCAGCATCACCTGGCCACTGGGTAGCCTCATTTTCACTCTCTAAACACAACGACCTTCACTAAAAGCTGTTAAATTACAGAATAATAAACAGTCTATCGATACATGCTTCTTATAAAGGGCTTCTTCTCCGCTGGCGCGGTCTGGCGTCTGTCGCGCCGGACGCATCTCGACATGTCCGGCGGACGCCGGGGGGGTTTCCCCCGCGCCTTCGCATGGAGTCCGTGACCGGACAAGTCACCAACGTCACCCACAAAAACCAAAAAAAACAACAAACGTCACCCACAAAAACACAACAAAAACCATACAAAAACCATACAAAAACACAACAAAAACCATACAAAAACCATACAAAAAACAAGAAAAACCATACTTCTTACATGTCACATGATGTCACCAACTTCTTCGTCATACACGCCTGGACCACGAGTCACGAGTCCCTTGGATCGCACCTCCACAGCTTCGGATTTCGGCCCAAAGACCAGTCCTTCCTGACACCGGAGACACTGCGGGGATGGCTGAGGGGTCCAGGGAACTCTGAGAATAGATGACCTGCCAGTGACGTCAACCTACCAGTGACCACCTGTTTGGGGGTTCTGATAGCCACTTAGAGGTTCGGAATTTCGCGACCATCTGGACCTACCGAGTCCGTGACCGAGTTCCGGGCTCCGTGTGGTCGGGACGTGCCTTTCAGTTCGTACGCCTCCTCAATGCTCCAAACTCCTGGCCAAACACCTTGTAGGCCCTGGAAGAGGACCACATGAAAACGATTGAAAACGCATGAGAAGTGAAAGCCACGTTGGGTTGTAGAGGAAAAATGGTCTTCCTTGCAGGTCAATGCCATCAGGTTCCATGTTCATCTTCCTGTATGTCTACCTTTAACTTATGACAATGGCCTCGTTGTATGTATACTCGTCCAGTCCCATTCGTCTGGGATGGGACTTGCCACCCATCGCCACATCCGACTGCCACAATCTTCCGGGGTGTAGAACTGTAGGTAACAGTTAATGAATTGATTCTTCCTTACCTTTGGACACCTTTACTTTCGTTAAGTCCCAAACCACGATATAGAATCTCACGGTAAAAAAGATCGGTAAACACCGTGTGATTGACACCCAACGTCCCGGGTGTGCTCTACAGAAGTGCGAGGACGAACGCTCAAGTCGTCCCGTCGTCGTCCCGTCGTCGATGGGGCCTCTCGATCGAAGTGTTGCGAGAGCTGCTCCAGCAGAGCCTCCGGAAACACTGGGTTGTGGCGGAACACTGGTTGGGTTTTTGCAGAACTTCTGAACCCGAAAACAAAGTCACCTGAACCTTTTGGATGGAACTGGACCTGAACCTTTTTGCCCACCATTGCTGTGTCTTAACATGTTTTAAGGGTCACGTGACATGGTGAATATGCCATAGATGGATTGTTGGGGTCATGAAATGTTGTAATTGAGTCTTTGATGTACAAGTAGGCCTGAGGCCTGAAGGTCTTTGGAACATTTTGGAACTAGCCTCAGGATGTACCTCGACACTCTGTGAGTGTGTTAACTGGTAAACCTGTAAACCTGTTCGTGTTCATACTTCAAATATCCTACATACATTCCTACAGTATGTGCCATGTCAAACGCATCTCAGAACGATGTGCAGAACCAATTGGAGTACACCGGTATACCCCAGGAGTCACCGACCTTCAACAAAAAAAATGGTCATTATATCAGGAGTCACAAACAAAGGGGTTCTTAGTCTCAGCCAGTGAGTGGATGTGACAGGGGCACACCGGGCGGCACTTTGTGACAGCTGGTAAACTTGGTCTTGGAAGGCCATGCTGGACCATTGTACGAATACATCCAAATGCGGAAGACGAGGGCGGACCAACACCCTTTGGGGCAGGGTGTCGCCATATCTGCACACACCCACTATAAATCTAAATCCTATACTGACCAACCCATAGACAAAATCACTTACAAAGCGTGTTAGCTTAAGTTGCATGTGGACGACACTTAAAGATTTGTTTGCTGAAGCATCACGAAATCTTTGTGGTCTACTTGTCTTGGTCTTCTTGGCCCATCCAAATGCCAGCTTGCGGTGCTGATTGCAGTCTTCTGTGGCCCCCCGATGCATTCTCTCCTCACCTACCATGTAAATCAAAAAAAACACCCTTCCAAACAGGCTCAAGTTACACCCGGGAAAATTCACATAGAACCTGAAAATGGACCTTTGGAAGACTACCCTCCTCTACAAACCAGTCGTTTTCAGGTTCCATGTTGATCTTCCAGCAAGTTCGAAATGGATTCCCATCCGATGTCCCAGAACAATCCGATGTCTGGCTGACGCTTCGTGGACGCTTCGCGGTCCCACACGGTGCTGCTGCTCCACGAAGTCAAACAGCTCCGGGGCCGCGCGGCTCTGGGGGCTCTCGTTGCTGGCAAAGCGCACGTCGTGCGCAGGTTCCATGACGTCGCTCGGTTCTCCGGGTTCTCCGGGCGGGCGATCTGGAAAGAGGTGGCCAGGATCGGATCGATCGTTTGTCTTTTTCTTGAATCTGGTGACTGGTGCGGTTTGAGTCACGTAGACAGGTGAGGCGTTTCTGTCTTGGAGCATTCTGAGCCATGCTGGCAGCTCCCAAGAGTCGGTGCGCACATGTGCGCACTGCGCTTGTAGGACTGGAAATCAAGGTGATTCCTTCATTAACCATCCGGAATGGGCTGGGATGAGTTACCAGTGTCATTTGGTTCATCAACCCACGACCATACGCAGTGTCTTCTTTTCCCACAGAAGAAACATGTGATCTCTCGCCTCTAGACTTGCACCTCTGAACACCAAAAAGATACGGTTTATTCACCTAACAGCTGCTCATGCTTCCGCCAAGATAAACAAGTCTGTGACAGTCTGTTTGTTGAAATGTCTTTGACAAGACTTTGAGCCACAAAACAAAAACGACCGAGATGTGATGCAATCCATCGCGATAACAAAAACACTAACTTCCAGGTCTGTAGACAGAGCGACAGGGGGGATCACTCCAAAATGTCTTGGAATATCAAATCGCTAGCTGTTGGAGCTTCAACACTATCTAGCTTCAACACTATCTTACCTAATTAATCAATATATAATATTGTACGTTATATAATATATGTACATTCTCAATTATGGTATAATCCTCTGAAAAGGCACAATGCTCAGGACATCGCTGCCTTTTGCCAGACTCCGAAGAGAAAGACCGGGCTTGTCCAAAAGCGGGTCTAAAAAGATGTCAAGGGCACCGAGGAACACTTGCTGTGAGATCGTGTTCCATAAAGGCAAATCTGCCCCAGACCTGCTTGACAGCAAGGTATGAATGGGATGCAGGGTAATTACCATTGATGGCATCATTTGTACATATAAAACAATTTAAAAGGACAGTTGACCTGGTTTGGTAGTCTAAAATCCGTATGGGGCCAATGATTGTTGGAAGTGCAGGGTATACATAATATATATATATATATACACACCCGTCGCTTAGCCCCGTCCTGTGGAAGGTGGCAGGTTGGGATTTTTTTTGATGCAAACAACACCATGTCTGCGTTCACCAATTCGCCCAGTGCTCCAGAACATGATGAATTCCGAACTGTCAAAGTGAATGTGTGTGTGGGTTCCTGTTTTTTCCTTCAGGTGATTTGAAATGGAACCCGGAGCCCCGTTATGTTCACCGCCCACATATAGTCATGTCTGTTCACTCCGCCAGTGGTCATTGAGGGTGTCCGCTTTTGACCCACAGTTGATCCAGTGGCCGTTCGGAAGAAGAACTCTCAACCTCACAACGAAGGTTACAAAGACGACTGCGTCCTTACATGAAGGATGAATATGCACTATAGGATGAATACTTCAAGACGGAGTCGAAGCCGCCATGACTATCCGTCAATCCGCTTCCTAACTTGGACGACCTGGCGTCCTGAGGATTTCCTCTTGATCTACATATAAACAAAACAACAATTAACATATCATCTATTAAAATTGTAATGGGCTTTCGACTTTGAGCCCACCTCAACTTCTCTCCAAGAAACCTAGTGTTCGACCGACCCAGCGATCTAGAAACCTACGTACGTCTGGATTCATACGATAGGGATTCATCGAGGCTGTGTAATTCTTTGTACGTAGCTCTCTTCAGACTGTACCAGGTTAGGGACCATCAAATCGTCCAATTGGGGGACTTGCCGAAATTATGCAAAATTTAAAGAACACATCATCTTACCCTTCAAACATTCATGACATGAGCCCCTCCCGCCTCCCGCCCTTAAAAAAACGAAGACAACATTAAAGAATTGGACTCTTTCAAGTCTTTGCCAAGGGTTTCCTTTTGGAGTAGGTGGATAGGGTGGGGCAGTTTTTGTGATTTCTGGAGCGAGCTCTGCGGATCCAAGGGCTGGACGCACATGGCATCCACCATCTTGGCCTCCTGCACCGCAGCACAGCAGGGCAGGAAGGTCCTTGCCGCGCGGTCCACGCGTCGTTTCGGCTGGTTTCGGAAGTGATCGTTTCACTGCCCCGTGATCAAGAGAGCGCCTGCTTCGGGGGATTCGTTTCGCTTCGTTTCGCTGTTCGCATCCGAATCGCTGTTCACTACTCACATGTCCAGTGTCCGTTGACACTCGGGTCGATTGGTCAAAGGATTTTGCGCCGCCCGAAGGATCCGCTTGTAAACTGACTGGTGCAACTCGTGGCTGAACTGAAGGTGTCTGGATCCGATCCAAAGGAATCTCTAGACAGGGAGCGCAACCACCAGCCAGCAAAAAGGCCCCGAGTTGGAGAGGTTGGAGATGGGGTGAAGTCAGAGATGTTCGGTCAAGTTCTCTCGTAAAAGGGTTGGATGGCATGGAGCGCAGGTGGATTATGGTTGTCCTTTCTACGAACTAGGTGGTGTGGGCGATCCATGTAGTTAAGCGTGATGATGAGTTTGTCGGAGGGCAGTTGATGTGACACGCTCGTGATTCAGATGCAGCAGTTGATGCATGAGGAAGTCTTGTCACAAGTCAGTGAAGGGTGACTCTGTTTTCGCCAGAAGTCGAAGCTAAAATAGAAAAAAGGAAAGGAGTGGAAGAGGGAGGATTGGTAACTTATTTAGTTGAAGCCCGTCACCGGCCTTGGTAATAACATGTCATAGCGCACAATCGAGCCGATCCAAGGTCTCGAAATCGAGACCTTGGATGATCATAGCGTCATGTCATAACCCTATCATTTCCCAAACACTCCATGTATGCCATATATGCCTACATTGACCTCCCAAAACACCCCAACTGATCGGCATATATGGCAGTCCCATGGAGCGTCTGGGTTTGGGCTTTCCAAAAGCCCGACGTCTATTGATGACACCGAGCTCCTCCCGTTCCTCCCCGCTGATGTCCCATCTCTTTGGGCTCCGAGGCACACGGGCCGTCCAGGCCTCACCGGCCGCCATGCCTCACATATCCCGTAAACGGGCTCCTGTCCCATATCCATCTCCTAAGCGGTGGTATTTGATCCCAACAAATCCACCCTAAGTGAATGCAGCCAATGCTTCATTCCTCTTGTGCTGTTCACCAACAGAACATTGCCTAAGTCTTCATGACTCTTCCAAAGGCATTATAGAAAGTTATGCATATTACACTATACACATTATATATACATGTATGTATCTTCCATGGCGCCCCGCGATCCATCATGATCCACTCCCCGAGCGTGGCCCCGCTCCCGGTGGCCCGGTCCAGGCGCAGCAGTCCAAGAGAGTGCTGGATCTCCTCCTCGTGCGCTCCGTGTCTTCGCTCTGCACACACACGGACCGCGGACAACGGACAACGGACGTGCTGTCCGTCCCGGTTTTTTCTGGCACGGCACGGACGGCGGAGAGTTCACGCGGATGCGCCGTGTGCTTCTTTTTGCGTGTCTTTTTGCGTGTTTGTTTGATGAAAGTTTATTTTTTTATGCAAGTCCTCCAAGATCTCGAAGAGGGAAAAGACAAAATGATTCTATTGAAGATGTCCAGCAGGGATCAAACCAATATCATAGGAATGATTTATTAATCCTTATGAAGTTCTGAAAACATATGGGATCATTAATATTATTAGGTGTGTATCTTAATAGGGGTCCCCCCTGGCCCTGGCTGGGTAGACTGGTCTATTTCGGATCATACGATACAAAACTTTGGTCTTTTTCGGTGATGCCAACGTTCATATTCAGTCAGATCTCATTAGCAACGTCAAACATCTGGAAGCAAAAAAGAACACGGCGAGTCCTCAGGAGAATTGCATGGTGTCATAGTTTTGGACGATGGATGAAAGCTGCGTCCGGGTCAGTCCCGCCGGTCCCGGCTTCTTCTTAACCAGTCCATGTTTGTCCATGGCCACCCTCACGATCACAATGGGTTGATGTCGGTCCATGTCGGTCATTTCGTTTGGGTCTCCAAAGCAAAGCCCAAACATGGATGTTGGACTGAACATGCTGAAACAAGCTCACATTACTCATATCACACTCTCCAAGGTCTACTAGAAGTCTAAACACCTCTGACTCAAACCTTCGACCTTCAAAAGGAATGGATGTCATGGAACTCATCTCGAGAAACACGCTCATGTTGGTTCTGAACCCTTGGCATTCAAACAATCCAGCAACGAGGGTGTTGTGGAAAAGAACTGTCCACCAATCATCCAACAAGGCCAACCTGCAATGTCACTTTCAATCATTCTTTGCGACACCAAGGCCAACAAGGTCAGAAAGAAAAACAATACCCTACAGCCTTCAAAGAAACGTTGACCTGGTTTTGTAGTAAAACAATGCTTGTTTTGGTAAACACCCTTAAATCCAATGGCTGGTGGAATTCCAGGGAATAAAAATATATATATATATAGTTCTGGATGGTTCGCAAACCGCGTAGTGATGTAGACTCTTGATTAATAACCACTCCAATTTGGATTGTAAAGCCTCCTCATATATTGGGGGTTCTATTCCTCAAGAGTCTACAGTTTCCCTCCACCAGTGCATGATGGTTAGGTTGCACCTGGTATGTTCTCGTCTACCGACTGCTACAGTAGCTGGTCGGACAACCCCAATCTACTTCTTGGATTTGCTTAAGGAACCTGGAGAAAAAATTATACGGTATTCCCCAGAAGGGGATTTACCCTGATTGACCCATAGGGAAATGAACACATCACTTTAGAGCAGCAAATCCAGTTGCTACGGCGAACACCGGCCAATGGAATGGCCGCCCGAGGCGCCGAATACTGAAGCGCTGTCGGAGGGAGTTCCGGAAGTAGGTGCCGATGCAGGGGAGACAGCCTGAGACGAAAACCGAAACCCGGGGGAACGGTGACGATCCGAACTTCGGTCACCGACTTCATCAGCGGAGCATCGCGGAGCTCTACGATGAGCTCTCCCGAGCTGAAGCTTGGGATATCTGGAGAAAAGTACCACTTCCGTTGGAAGTGAAAGCAACTGGTACGTTGGAACTCAGGCCATGGCAAAGAAACCAGCTCCCACTTCCGTCTTCATGTGTGGCTAATTGACCCAATGCATATGTGCACAAGCCACATGCGATGCACATGAAACATAATATATTTGTTTGGCTCTTTGAACCCAAGTTTTGCTTACCGTCACCAACCTTCATTGATTCAAGTGGTGAGCCTTTTCGGGGAGCATGACCGGGGACATGACGCGGAGCCTTGAACAAGGCCCAAAGAAGGCCACAAACGTTCATCCAAGGCACAGAAGAAGAGGTGCGGCACACAAATGGCCAACCTGAAAAATATCAAACAAAAAGACACATGGCCCAAGGTTGGGGTGGATGAGGGTGGAATACCCGGTCTTCCAAGGGATTACTATTTTCCACGTCCATGTTCTGTTGGAGGGAATGTATGCCTCATATTTGAGGAATATCTTGAAAGGTTCAACCACTTGTTGAGACCAAAAAAATTGGAAACATTATCATATCCATGTTTGCCGTATTCAATCTGCGTTCAATCGCTTAGTGAGTCGCTCGAACAAACACACCTGCTTGATGCGCTGTTTCGAATCAACAATTTGGGTAGATGATGACACCATCGTGGGCGTCTTGAAACCGTTTGTTTCCATTACACATGTTCTTCACTGTGAAAAGGATGACGAATGCCCACGGACCCGATCTATGTCATGCTAACCTGATGATCGGAGGCTTTAAAGAACCAACAGAACTCTGTTCCCGGAAAAAATCGTTATCCTGGCCCTACCAGCAGCCCCAAGCAGTGCTCAAAAGATCACGATCATGAGTAAAAACAAAACTTCGATGTCCCACTCGCAGTGGCATTCGTAGAGGTAGCGGTAGTGGTACTGCGTCGTAGTGATGTAAGTATGTAAATGTGGCAGTGGTAGTGCTTGTGGTGTGGTAGCAGCAGCAGCAGCAGCAGCAGCAAGTAGTAGTAGTAGTAGTAGTAGTAGTAGCAGCAGTAGCAGTAGCAGTAGCAGTAGCAGTAGCAGTAGCAGTAGCAGTAGCAGTAGCAGTAGTAGTAGTAGTAGTAGTAGTAGTAGTAGTAGTAGTAGTAGTAG